TTTATCACATCGTTTTTCTATTACTTTTTCTTTTTTCTATTACCTTTATTATTTCGATTAATTTACTTATTACGACTTATTATAAATTTACATTTAACGTATTTTTTTTCTTCAGTTAACAATGTCAACACTAAAAATAAGTTTAATGAGCATGCGTCAATATAGTAGAGGCATGCGCAATTGCATGCAAGTATTTCCAAGGAATTCCTAAGAATTCCGAAGAGTCTCAGTAATTCTAAATAATTCCCAATATTTCTAAAACTAATAATGAATAATTCCAAATTTCCACATAATTCCACCAACTTGTAAACCATAACTTCACAGCGAATGAACTAATAAAAAATTAAAATGCATTTATTTTTCAAATTTTGAACAAGGCTTCATGGAGACAAGATCAAAATCACGAAATTAAATCAAAAATATCTTATTTTTGACTTTCTCAAGTTTTTAAGAAAGTTTTTCAGCCAGAAATGCATTGTTTTGCAAAATCTTGTCTAAAACCAGTCGAAAAATCGATAAAAATTGTGCTATTTTTGCTTTTTTAAGCAGTTAAATACATTTTTGAGCTAATAAACTGAGTTTTTTTGCTAAAACAGATCAAAACTTACTAAATTAGATCAAAAATGATAATATTTTTGCAGTTTCAATTATTTTTGAACTTTCTTAGTATAAAATTTTGCTCAAAAAGTCACAACAATTACCAAATTAGATCGAAAATTATGCGATTTTTGACATTTTCGAGAGTAAAAGAATGTTTTTGATCTAAAAACTTCTTTTTTTCGAAAAATTTTGCTAAAATATACAAAATTACTAAACTAGATTCTACCGTTCTATTTTGGTCTGTTTTACTGGAATTAGTTTGGTGACCTAAAAGTTTACTTTTTTTCAAAAAATTTCAGTCACAAGCAAAAAACCACCAAGTTAGTGCATTTTTTAATGCACATAAAACATTATTTTTGACTTTTTCAGCTAAAAATGCAAGCCGAGGAATTTCCTAATTAGATAGAAAATGGTGTTTATTTTTGAGAAAAAATCTTGTTTTTGATCAAAACATGCCCAAAAATTAATTAGGCAAAAAATTATATTATTTCCATCTATTTTCAAGCGAATCAAAAGGTTTTCGAGCCAAAACCAATTTATTTCACAAAATTTTGCTAAAATAGGCAAATTAGGGGTCGAAAACGCCATCACTTTTGTCTTTGTAAAATTTTACCCAAATTGGCCAAAAAATTAGCAAATTAAGTCGAAAATGGTATATTTTTTAAACTGAGGGTCAGGATAAAAAGTACTCTAACTATTTTGGCTGAAGTTTCTTGCCACTTTCAACAACAAAATTCTAAATTCCATAGTTTTTCACAAAAAGAGGTCTTTTGCGTTTTTTAGATACAACCTCATTAAAAAGGCATCTTTTTCAGTGGGTGTACGTGTTTACAGGAAACTTTTATCTTAAAAATTTCAATTTTGGAACTCTCTGTGTAACACTAATTTTCCAAGGCCTTTGAAGTTTGATTGAAATTAATTTATATAAAACAGTCGTTTTTAATTCTTCTGTGCCATTTTCACTAAGAAACAAAAACATTGCTTGTAGATCCACTCCCAACAACTCCGCACCCCCTCCAACGGCATAACCACCACCACCGACATCGACGTCGCCCTCCCCGGCATGTGGCTCCCAATCGCCATCGCCGTCGACTGGGTCGGCAACAAACTCTACGTCGCCGACTCCGTCGGCCAAAAAGTCGACGTTTTCGAACTCCCTTCAGCCCGCTGGCACGCCATCGTCCTCGGCTCCAACCTCACCAACCCCGCCGACCTCGCCTTGGACCCCACAATGGGCCTCCTCTTCGTCGCCGACAGCTCGCAAGTCCTCCGCGCCAACATGGACGGCACCAACGCGCACGCCATCGTCTCCGAAGCCGCCTACAAAGCCTCCGGGATCGCCGTGGACATCATCGCCAAACGGGTCTTCTGGTGCGACTCTCTCCTCGACTACATCGAAACGGTGGATTACCACGGCCAAGGACGCTTTCTCGTGGTCCGGGGCCAATCAGTCCCAAGTCCGGCCCGTTTGGCCTTATTCGAAAGTAGAGTCTATTGGACCGATGGTACCAAACAAGGGGTCATGTCCGTGGATAAATACGACAGTTCTAGCATCCAATCGATATATCGAATGCAGGAAATTAGAGACCCTAAAGCGGTCAAAGCCATCCATGGGCTAACCCAACCGTATGCGAGCAACCCATGTGGGCACAACAATGGGGCTTGTCACCACATGTGCATCATCACCAACTCCGGGGGAAGTCTAGGTTTCCGGTGTGCGTGCGACACCGGATTTAGACTAACCGAAGATGAGCGAACTTGCGACTTAATCACCGAATTCCTCATGTATTCCCAACAGAGATTCATCAAAGGGAAAGTCCTAAACCCCGTGATTGAAGGCTTCAGCGATGCTATGCTCCCAGTGGTGTCCCGAAGAGCCCGTTTCGTGGGGCTGGACTTCGACGCACGTGACCAACACATCTACTACTCCGATGTCCTCCAGGATGTCATCTACAGAGTCCATCGCAACGGCACCAGTCGCGAAATAGTCCTCGCGTCCCAAAACGAAGGCGTGGAAGGCCTCGCCATAGACTGGGCCTCCAAAAACTTATACTACATTGATAGTCGCAAAGGCACTTTAAATGTTCTATCAACGAGAAATGTCACCTACCGAAGGACACTCCTAAAAAATTTAAAACGACCAAGAGCCATAGTTGTGCATCCCAATAAGGGATTTTTGTTCTTCTCGGAGTGGGATCGCCCGGCTAATATCTCACGAGCCGCCAGTGATGGAACAAACTTGACTGTTTTTAAAAATTTGACTCTGGGATGGCCGAATGGACTCTCGATTGATTTTGAACAAGATCGGTTGTATTGGTGTGATGCACTACTTGATCATGTGCAACATTCGAATCTCGATGGGACTGATGTTAAAACTGTCAATTCGAGATTGATCAGACATCCGTTTAGTATTGTTATACATAAGAATTTTATGTATATTACTGATTGGAGATTGGATGCGATTATTAAGCTTCATAAGTTGACGGGAGAGAATGAAGAAACGTTGATAAGGGAACCGCAAACCAATCGACTATATGGAGTTAAGGTATGTGGAGCAGTCATACAATTTATTTTTAACTAGTCAATGTGGTTAAATCCGACAGGATTAAGAGTTTCATTTTTATTTCGTAAAGTGTCAATTGAGACTTTTCAAAATATCGTGCTACAAAAGACAGTGGGGGAGACTAAGGAAGTGTCTAGAAATACCGGTTTAAACAATATCTAGATTTGCAAAAAAAACGTTTAAAAATTTCTCAAAGAAATGCTCAAACTTAATAAATGTAAATTGAAACTTTTGTGTTACAAAAGACAGTTGGGAAGACTAAGAAAGTGTCAGATGTACTGGATTAAAAAAATTTTAGACTTTCAAAAAAAACATTTAAAAATTTCTTAAAGAAATGTTTAGATTTAAAAAAATGTTAATAGATACGTTTGAAAACATCGTGCTACAAAAAACAGTTGTGGAGACTAAGAAATTGTCAGATGTACTGGATTCAAAAATTTTTAGACTTGCAAAAAACATTTAAAAATTTCTTAAAGAAATGCGTAAATTAAAAAAATGTCAATCGACTAAGGAAGTGTCTACAAAACCGTTTTAAGCAATATCTAGATTTGCAAAAAAAAAACGTTTAAAAAGTTTTGAAATAGAAATGCTCAAATTAAAAAAATGTAAATTGAAACTCTTGAAAATATCGGGTTACAACAGACAGTTGGGGAGACTAAAAAAATGTCAAGAAATACTGGCTTAAAAAATTTCTATACTTGCATAATACATTTTATTTTTTTAAGAAATGCTTCAATTAAAAAAATGTGAATTGAGACTTTTTAAAAAATTGTGCTACAAAAAACAGTGGGGGAGACTAAGGAAGTGTCTAGAAATACTGGTTTAAAAAATATCTTGATTTGCAAAAAAAACGTTTAAAAATTTCTCAAATAGAAATTCAAATTTAAAATATGTAAATTGATACTTTTGAAAATATCGGGTTACAAAAGACAGTTGGGGAGACAAAAAAATGTCAAGAAATACTGGCTTAAAAAATTTTCAGAATTGCAAAAAACATTTAAAAATTTCTTAAAGAAATGCTTAAATTTTAAAAAAATGTCAATCGAGACTTTTATAAAACATCGTGCTATAAAAGACAGAGGAGGAAAATAAGGAAGTGTCTAGAAATACTGGTTTAAACAATATCTAGATTTGCAAAAAAAGAAAACGTCTAAAAATTTCTCAAATAAATGCTTAAATTTAAAAAAATGTCAATCGAGATTTTTTTAAAACATCGTGTTGCAAAAGACAGTGGGGGAGACTAAGGAAGTGTCTAAGAAATACCGGTTAAACAATATCTAGATTTACAAAAAAAAAAACATTTAAAAATTTCTCAAATAGAAATGATCAAATTTAAAAAATGTAAATTGAAACTTTTGAAAATATCGGGTTACAAAAGACAGTTGGGGAGACTAAAAAAATGTCAAGAAATACTGGCTTAAAAAGTTTTTAGACTTGCAAGAAAACATTTAAAAATTTCTTAAAGAGATGCTTAAATTAAAAAAAATGCCAATCGAACGTTTTTTTAAAATATTGTGTTGCAAAAGACAATGGGGGCGACTATTGGAGATCAGATTTTGTCAAAATTCTAAACTTCACACTATCAGTTTTTATCAAAATTTGTAAAGGGGGAAGGCGGCTTTGCCGCTCGCACTCACTCGCTCACACTGTTTGATTTGCAAATATTTTATATAATTAATAAAAACTCACACTATCGGATTTTGTCAAAATTTTTATTTAATTTAAACTAATTTTGCCCCTTTCTAAACCTCATACTATTTGATTTCACAATTTTTCTGTTAATAAACTGGAAATCTATTTTTTGTTAGTTCAATGGGTACATCTAGTTTTTGTTACATTGATAGAAATAATAATTTCAATTAAATTACACATTCCTTGGCCAAATTTCTTTTATATTGGTCTCTTATAGTCTTAAACAATTGGGCAATTTTTTCACAAATTTTATGGTTAAAGTGTACTCACATAAAATATCACATAGTCATATTTAAGAAAAACTGGAATCGAGACTTTTTTAAAACATCGTGTTGCAAAAGACAGTGGGGGAGACTATTGGAGACTATCAGATTTTGTCAAAATTTGTAAAGGGGTTTGCGGCTTTGCGGCTCGTTCCATTCACTATCCGATTTTGTCAAAATAAAGGGGGTTCGCGGCTTTGCCGCTCGCCCCTTTCTTAACCTCACACCTCTTTATTTATATTTATTTAAATTTATTTCGCTCTTTTTTAGTAGGTATATTTAGATAGCTTCATAATGAGGTCAAAACCATTACTTAAAACTCAATTAAATTCAAAAATCTTATAACCGCCGAGTCGATGGAGTGTAAAGGTTGTGGAAATTATAAACTCTAAAAATTTTGTTTTATTTTGTTGGAAGCATTTTTATGAAATAAGTATTTTTTGTTAGATATACAGCGAGCAGGAGCAGCGGATCGACGCCAGCCATCCCTGCTGGAGCAACAACGGCGGTTGTTCAAAACTCTGTTTCGCTGTTCCGCAGGAGAGTGGAAATTTGGTGGCGAAATGCGGTTGTCCATATGGAGAACGGCTGATGCCCGACCAAAAAACCTGTCAAGCTGATCCAAGCCACGAACCTCCGGTGCAAGCATGTCCAAACAGTTGGGATTTCACGTGTAATAACCAGAGATGCATTCCAAAATCGTGGGTGTGTGATGGAGACGACGACTGTTTAGATAACAGTGATGAAGAACAAAATTGTACAAGTAAGTAAGTTGAATTAAATCACCCCCTTTTTGTTTGTTGTTGATTCTTGTTATTTAAGTTTATGAGATCCTTTCTGATATTTTGAGGGTTTTTGTGTACAATGAATAAAATATGACTGCTGAATTTTAAAACTTGACGTGTTTTTCGTACGCGCATATTTTAAAGTTTATTCGGAGGAACGAAAAATTTGCTGGTGTTGGTGTATGATGGATGTACAAGTGCACCATTAAAATGTATGGAAAATTAAAAAAGTGTGCTCATGTATGTACCACCAAAAAGGTTTTCCGAAATGAATAAAACACTAGCTGCGTACCTACATTTATTAAAGCCAAAATCATGAGTATATTCATTAAAATTATTTACTTTTTATTTTTATAAATTAGTAAACTAGACAAGGATACGCATTTGAGCGCTATTTTGTTGAAATCTCTTGATGTTATAGAATTTCTTAGTAAAATTTGTTTAAAAAAGTTAAAATCACTCTAAATGGAGTAAACGAATTAAAAACAATACATTTTAGGCTTCATTTCGTGGTTTTCTGGACTGTTCTTGCAATTTTTTTTTAAATTCACTAAATAATTCAATAGTTCCCGAAGGACACTCTTCAATAATTAAAACCAAAAGTTTTACACGTAATTTTGTGAATTTTTCTTTTGTTTTGGCGAAATCTCTCAAAGTTAGTGGATCCAGATTTCTAAAACGTGCATTTTACACCTAATTTTACGATTTTTTGTTTTGTTTTGGCAAATCACTTGCAATTGTTGTACTTTTAGATGAAAAACACTCTATTTAGATTCAGTTTTGGGATCTGCTGCCTTTTTTGACAAGATTTCTCGAAATTAGTAAGTTTCTTAGTGTATTTTTTTAAACAAGTAAAAAAAGTGTCTTGTTTTGGCGAAATCTCTCTCAGTTATTATGTTCTTAAGCGAAAAATAGTTTGAGTATCGCAAAATTTGCGAAAATAATTTAATTTAGACTCAATTTTGGGATTGAAAGTTTTCTTTTGTCGAAATTTTTTGAAATTAGGTACATTTCTTAATGTAATTTTTTTTTAAACAACAAAAAAAAAAGAAAAATTCGGGCGAATTGATTGAAAACAATGCAACTTACACATAGTTTTGAAAATTTCTGTATCTACTGCAAGGATCACACACTCTCCATTAAAACTACTAAAGGACACTCTTAATTGATCTAAATAAGCAAAAATTACGCTTTTAAGAGATAATTTTGCGATTTTTTTGCACAAAGTAGGTAAAAAAATTCATTTTCGACTTAAATATGAAAGAAAATAACGTTAATATTTTAATTTTTTGCCTTGTTTTGGCGAAATATCTTAAATCTAGCGTATTTACATGTAAAAAACGCGATAAATCGTAGGAAGAGACGAAAATAATGCATTTCCGACCTATTTTGACTTCCTGCTTTGTTTTTCTTTTGACATCTTTCGGAATTCACTAAGCAATCCACTAGTTGCTGAAGGACACTCTTAAGTGATCTAAATAAGACGTTTTTTGTGATTTAATTAATATGTTATAATTGAGCTAAATAAGCAAAAATAACGCATATTTTTTGCTTAATTTTGCGATTTTTTCTTCTGTTTAGGCAAAATCATTTGCAATTATTAAGTTTTTAATTGAAAGTACACCAAATTGTGCGAAATAGGCAAAGAAATTTAGTCCCAATGTTTTAGCGTTTTGACAAAACATACGAAATCAATAATTGAAACCAAAAATTGTACATCTAATTTTGAGAATTTGTCTTGTTTCGGCGAAATCTATCAAAGTTAGTGGATCTAGAAGTAAAAAATTTCTAAATCCTGCATTTCAGACCTAATTTTACGATTTTTTGCTTTGTTTTGGCGAAATCACTCGAAATTATTGTGTTTTAAAGTGAAATACGGTCTGAATGACGCAAAATTTGCGAATATAATACAATTTAGCCGAATTTTGCGATTTTTTCGAAATTTTTCTAATTTAGGTGAGTTTCGTAGTGTTATTTTTCTTCAAAACAAGTAAAAAAAAGTGAGAAACGCTCTAAATTTAGCGAATTGATTGAAAAAAAAATTCTCACTTAATTTTGAGAATTTCTCAAAACGGACTGGATATCGTAAAATTTGCGAAAATAATACAACTTATAGCCAATTTTGAAATTTTGTTGGCGAGATTTTTTGAAATTATTGAGTTTCTTAGTGAAAACTTTTAAAATATACTAGATTTGTGTCAAAATAAACCAATATCGAGTTTTATTTTGCATTTTTTTACGAGAAATGTTATCGAAAATGCTCAATTAAATCTTTTCCTTAAAAAAGGATATGCTATCAAGCAAGCCGAAAAAGCAAACCCATAGCCTATTTATGAAAATTTCTGCATTAATTTAACAGAAAATATTGAAGTTAAGCTATTTTTGTTAAAAAGGAATCAAATTCAATGAGACACTATAATTTGAAGTAAAATTACCCACATTTAGGGTCTATTTTTGGGATATTCATAGCAAAATCTTAAAAAAAGATACATTTTTGTAAGACAATGCAAATTGCGAAGACGCTGGGGGACGTAGCACGAAACAATTGGTAAAAATCGGTCGCTCCGTTGGGTCGCAAAGACCAAAAATCGGCCGTAAAGCGGCTCCAGGCAATATTATAATAATTTTGTAGACCAAGAAATTGAAAAAAAATGTAGGCTAAAAATTGACGTATTCGATGCTTTTTTTCGAAATTTTTCGAATTTAGGTGAATTTCGTAGTATTATTTTTCTTCAAAACAAGTAAAAAAAAAGTGAAAAACGCTTTAAATTGACCGAAGTAATTGAAAAAACACCTTTCACACTTAATTTTGAGAATTTCTGTATTGTTTCGGCGAAATCTTTCGAATTTTAAGTGAAAAACGGACTGGATATCGTATGAATCGAATTCAATATTTTTGAAGTCTGAGTGTAAAATTTGCGAGAATAATACAATTTATAGCCAATTTTGTTGGCGAGATTTTTTGAAATTTTTGAGTTTCTTATTGAAAACTTCTAAAATATGCTAGATTTTTGTTAAAATAAGCCAATATCGAGTTTTATTTTGCAATTTTTTGCAGGTTTTTGCGACAAATGTTTCAAAAATATTCAATAAAATCTCTTAAAATTGTCTTAAAAAAGGATATGCTATCAAACAAGCCGAAAAAGCAAACCATAGCCTATTTTTCAAATTTTCCGCATTAATTTAACAGAAAATATTGAAGTAAAGCAATTTTTGTTAAAAAGGAATCAAATTAAATGAGACACTATAATTTGAATTAAAATTACCCACATTTAGGGTTTATTTTTGGGATATTCAAAACAAAATCTTTTAAAAAAGATACATTTTTGTAAGAAAATGCGAATTACGTAAACGCACAATCCAAAAATGTATTTTTACTGAGTGTGTGTATAACAAGGGGACGTAGCACGAAACAATTGGTAAAAATCGGTCTCACCGTTTGGCCCCAAAGACCAAATGTGTGCCGTAAAGCGGCTCCAGGCAATATTATAATAATTTTATAGACCAAGAAATTGAAAAAAAAAATAATTGTAGGCTAAAAATTGACGTATTTGATGTTTTTTTTTCGAATTTAGGTGAGTTTCGTAGTATTATTTTTCTACAAAACAAGTAATAAAAGTGAAAAACGCTCTAAATTTACCGAAGTGATTGAAAAAAATCCTTTCACACTTAATTTTGCCTATTTTTGAAATTTTCTGCATTAATTTAACAGAAAATAGTGAAATAAAGCTATTTTTGTTAAAAAGGAATTAAATGAAACACTATAATTTGTAAATTTACTCACATTTAGAGTTTATTTTTAGGATATTTAAAACAAAATCTTTTAAAAAATGATTTTTGTAAGAAAATGCAAATTGCGAAGACGCAAGGGGACGTAGCGCGAAACAAGTGGTAAAAATCGGTCGCACTGTTCGGCCGCAAAGATCAAAAGTCGGCCATAAAGCGGCTCCAGGCAATATTATAATAACTTTGTAGACCAAGAAATTGAAAAAAAAGTTGTAGGCTAAAAATTGACGTATTTGATGCTTTTTTTTTTCGAAATTTTTCGAATTTAGGTGAGTTTCGTAGTGTTATTTTTCTTCAAAACAAGTAAAAAGTGAAAAACGCTCTAAATTGACCGAAGTGATTGAAAAAAAAACCTTTCACACTTAATTTTGAGAATTTCTGTATTGTTTCGGCGAAATCTTTCGAATTTTAAGTGAAAAACGGACTGGATATCGTAAAATTTGCGAAAACAATACAATTTATAAACAATTTTGAAATTTTGTTGGCGAGATTTTTTGAAATCACTGAGTTTCTTAGTGAAAACTTTTAAAATATACTAGATTTGTGTCAAAATAAACCAATATCGAGTTTTATTTTGCATTTTTTTACGAGAAATGTTATCGAAAATGCTCAATTAAATCTTTTCCTTAAAAAAGGATATGCTATCAAGCAAGCCGAAAAAGCAAACCCATAGCCTATTTTTGAAAATTTCTGCATTAATTTAACCGAAAATATTGAAGTAAAGCTATTTTTGTTAAAAACGAATCAAATTAAATGAGACACTATAATTTGAAGTAAAATTACTCACATTTAGGGTTAATTTTTGGGATATTTAAAACAAAATCTTTTAAAATAAGATACATTTTTGTAAGAAAATGCAAATTGCGAAGACGCAAGGGGACGTAGCGCGAAACAAGTGGTAAAAATCGGTCGCACTGTTCGGCTGCAAAGATCAAAAGTCGGCCGTAAAGCGGCTCCAGGCAATATTATAATAATTTTGTACACCAAAAAATTGAAAAAAAAATGTAGGCTAAAAATTGACGTATTTGATGCTTTTTTTGCGAAATTTTTCGAATTTAGGTGAGTTTCGTAGTATTATTTTTCTTCAAAACAAGTAAAAAAAAAACGCTCTAAATTGACCGAAGTGATTGAAAAAAAAAAACCCTTTCACACTTAATTTTGAGAATTTCTGTATTGTTTCGGCGAAATCTTTAGAAATTTAAATGAAAATCGGACTGGATATCGTAAAATTTGCGAGAATAATACAATTTATAGCCAATTTTGTTGGCGAGATTTTTTGAAATCATGGAGTTTCTTAGTGAAAACTTCTAAAATATGCTAGATTTGTGTTAAAATAAGCCAATATCGAGTTTTATTTTGCATTTTTTTGCAGGTTTTTGCTACAAATGTTATCGAAAATGCTCAATAAAATCTCTTTAAATTGATTTAAAAAGGGATATGCAATCAAAAAAGCCGAAAAAACAAACCCATAGCCTGTTTTTGAAATTTTCTGTATTAATTTAACAGAAAATATTGAAGTATAGCAATTTTTGTTAAAAAGGAATCAAATTAAATGAGTACACTTTAATTTGAAGTAAAATTACCCACATTTAGAGTTTATTTTTGGGATATTCAAAACAAAATCTTTTAAAAAAAGATACATTTTTGTAAGAAAATGCGAATTGCGAAAACGCGCGTAGGGGACGTAGCACAAAACAATTTGGTCGCAAAGACCAAAAGTCGGCCGTAAAGCGGCTCCAGGAAATATTATAATAATTTTGTAGACCAAGAAATTGAAAAAAAAAATGTATCCTAAAAATTGACGTATTTTCAATGAAAAAGACCCTTTTATCATTTATTATTTATTTTGTTGGTGGTTCCTATTTTTACCATTAAAATGATTTTAAAAAATTACCACAAGGATCACACACTCTCTATTTATCTTCCAGAACCAACCTGCGGCACGAACGAATTCCAATGCAAATCGGGCCGTTGCATCCCCATGACATTCAAATGCGACGCTGAGAACGACTGCGGCGATTTTAGTGACGAAACCGGTTGCGTGAACGTAACTTGCGGCTCGACGCAATTCCATTGCGACAACGGCCGTTGCATCCCCAACAGCTGGAAATGCGACTCGGAGAACGACTGCGGCGACGGCTCCGACGAGGGCGAATCCTGCGCTGAGAAGACCTGCGCTTATTACCAATTCACGTGTCCGAGGACGGGCCACTGCATCCCGCAGAATTGGGTCTGCGACGGCGACGACGACTGCTTCGACAAGCAGGACGAGCAGGACTGTCCCCCCATCACCTGTCAACCGAATCAGTTCAAATGCGCTGATTTACGACAGTGCGTGCAAGAAAGTTACAAATGCGACGGGATTCCGGATTGTAATGACGGCAGTGATGAATTGGGGTGTCGTAAGTGGGCGAAACTTTAAATTGTCGGTGAATTAAGAGACGTTTTTCTTAATTACAGCCTCCATTGCACCTGATCAGTGTAACAATGAGAAGCAGTTTCAGTGTCAATCGTCGAGTATTTGCATACCCAAAGCGTGGCATTGCGATGGGACGCACGATTGTGATGATGGGTCCGATGAGCCGGAGTCCTGTGGAGAGATCAAGTGTGCACCCAACTTTTACATGTGCGACAATGGACAGTGCGTTTTTAAGGTAACTTAATAATGGTTTTCTTAATATTGCAAAAAACAAAGTCAAATATCAATCAAAATATTTCAATACCTCACTTTCAGACCTTATTTTAACATAAAACATCTTATTTTTATCTATTAACTTAATTACACGTGTTGGGAGGCAAAAACCGCGACATTGCCCCACCGTACGGATTTGTAACATGTAATTTTTTTGTTACATGTTGACATTTTGTTGTAAAATTTTATGAAAGTAACTCAAGTGGTTTCAGAGGAACTAATAAGGGATTAGAATCAGCCTGTATATCTGTAACGAAGTTTACTTGATAAATTAGAGTTATTTTTTAATGTAGAATAATGGTTGCAATTTTTGGGAATGTAAGAGAAACACTTTGTGTACCATACTTACAAAATGTAAAACTGTATACATAAAATAATTTGTTAAGAGACAAATATGATAAGTGAAAATTTTGCCAAATTTTCAATACTTTTCAATACGAAAATGCTCTAAATCGAGCGAAACAAGAATTAATTTTGCACAAAGTAGGTAAAAAAATGCATTTTAGACTTAATTTTGAAAAGAAAGAAAGTAAATTTTGCAATTTTCGGCCTAGTTTTGTCAAATATCTTAAAACTAGCGTATTTCTAAGTAAGAACCGCGATAATTCATGGAAAGAGACGAAAATAACACATTTCGGCTCTATTTCGACTTTCTGCTTTGGTTTTTTGGAATCTCTCAAAATAAATAAGTTTCTTAGTGATTTTTGAAACAAGTAAAAAAGTAGAAAACCCTTTAAATTGAGCGAACTATTTGAAAACAAAACATTTTGCTCTTCATTATGTGATTTTTCAACTTGTTTTGACAAATTTTTCAAAATTTACTGGTTGCTGAAAGTCACTCGTAATTTAGCTAAATAAGTAAAAATAACGCATTTTAGGCCTGATTTTTTGCTCTGTTTTAGTCAAATCTCTTGCAATTAATGTGTTTTTAAATGCTAATAAATGTGCGACATAGTCAAAAACAACACACATTTGAACTAATTTTGTGATTTTTTTTTCTTATTTTAACGAAATATGCTTGAAATTCGTTCACGAGTTTGGTACTATGTGAAAAGCGCTTTAAATTGAGCGAATCATTGAAAAACAACGCATTTTACACCATTTTACACCTAATTTCTGGAAATTTCTGTTTTGTTTCTGCGAAATCCCTCGAAGTTTGTGGATCCAAAAGTGAAAAAATTTCTAAATACCACGTTTCAGGTCTGTTTTTACGATTTTCTGCTTTGTTTTTGCGAAATCATTCGAAATTATTAGGCGAAAAACGCTCTACATATTCCATAATACACAAAAAATAGTTCAATTTTGCGACTTGTTCCCTATTTTGACGAGTTTTTTCGAAATCAGTAAGTTTTTTAATAATTTTTGAAGCAAGTAAAAAAAGTAAAAAACGCTATAAACAAGACTTAATTTTCACGAAGTAAGTAGAGAAATGCATTTTAAACTTAATTTTGATTTTTGCTTTATTGTTTTATCAAAATATTTCAAACCAGGTTCTAAGTAAAAACGCGATAAATTGTGGAAAGAGACCAAAATAACGCATTTCGGCCCTATTTTGAATATCCGCTTAATTTTTTTTGAAATCTTTCGAAATTAGTGAGTATCTTTTAGTGATTTTCTTAAACAAGTGAAAAACTATGAAAAACGCTCTAAATTGGGCGAAACAACTGAAATTTTCTGATTTGTTTTGGAAAAATCTTGCAAAATTGTCTAAGCAATTTAATAATTATTGCTGAAGGACACTCTTAATTGAACTAAAAAACGCATTTTAGACTTAATTTTGCGATTTTTTTTTCTGTTTTGACCAAATCTTGTACAAAAATTCATATAATTTTGAAAGATAAATGCAGCAAAAAAATAAAAAATAACGCATTTTTAACTTCATTTTGTGATTTTTTTTGAAAACAACAATTTCACACTTAATTTTAAGAATTTGTATTTTGTTGTGGCGAAATTTCTCAAAGTTAGTGAGTTTAATAAGTGAAACATCGTACATTTAAGAGTAATTTTACAATTTTCTTTTTTGTTTTGACGAGATTTTTTGAAATTATTGTGATTTTAAATGAAGAACCTCTGGGTATCGTAAAATGCAATGCAATGCAATTTATTTATTTTTCGAAATTAATGACTCTCTTAGTGATTTTTTTAAAGAAGTAAAAAAGTGAAAAACGTTCTAAATTGAGTGAATTTTGAGAATTTCTCTCTTGTTTAGGCGAATTCTCTCAAAGTTATAAGCTAAATCCTACATTTCAGTTCTTATCCTATGATTTTCTGCTTTATTTTGGCGAAATCACGCAAAATTATTGTGTTTTTAGGCAAAATATGCAAAGAAAAATGTGCAATTTAAGTCCAATTTGCGATCTGCTACCTTTTTTAGGCGAGATTTTACGAAATTGTGCCAAACAGGCCAAAATTTTAGACCTAATTTTGTGATTTTTTTTTCTTGTTTTGACAAAACATGCTCAAAATTCGTTTGTGAAATTCTTGGTGTTTTTTTAAACAAGTAAAAAACTCTATAATCGAGCAAAACAAGACCTAATTTTGCACGAAGTAAAAAAAAATGATGCTAATATTGCAATTTTCTTCAAACTACCGTATTGGTAAGTAAAAAACTTGCCAAATTTGTAATTTTCTGTGAAAATTGAAAAGTTTCTTTGTGAAGAACGCCTTATTTTGGCAAAAAAAAACATTTTAGACTTAATTTTTAAAAATAATGTTAGCTAATATTGCAATTTTCTGCCTTATTGCTTTGGCGAAATATTTTAAACTGGCATATTTTTAAGTAAAAAACGCGATAGATAAATCGTCGAAAAAGACAAAAATAATGCATTTTAGCCCTGTTTTGTTTTTTGAAATCTCTCGGAATTTATGATTATTTTAGTGAATATTTTTTATTTAAACAAATAAAAAATAATGAAAAAACGCTCCTAATTGAGTGAACCATTGAAAACAAGGCATTTCAGACTTCATTTCATTATTTTCTGACTTGTTTTGGCAAAATCTTTCAAAATTCACTAAGTAATTCACTAGTTGCCAAAGGACACACTTAATTGAGCAAAATAAGCCAAAATAACGCTTTAAAAAGAAAATTCTGCTATTTTTTGCATTGTTTTGGCCACATTTTTTATTTATTTTTTTGGGCATTATTTTTGACTTCATTTTGTGATTTTATTTCTTGTTTTTACGAAACACGCCCGAAATTTGTGAAAAATAAATGTTCTAAATTAAGCGAATCATTTGAAAACAACAATTTCACTCTTAATTCTGAGAATTTCTGTTTTGTTGTGGCGAAATTTCTCAAAGTTAGTGAGTCTATAAGTGAAAAATGCTCTAAATCGTACATTTCAGACTAATTGTACGATTTTCTTTTTTGTTTTGACGAGATTTTTCGAAATTATTGTGTTTTTAAATGAAAAACCTCTAGGTATCGCAAAATTTGCAAAAATAATTTAATTTATTAATTTTTCGAAAGTCCTATTTGCGAGATTTTACGAAATTGTGCCAAACAACAAAAATTTTAGACCAGATTTTGTATTTTTTTTTCTCTTGTTTTGACAAAACATGGCCCAAATTCGTTTGTGAAATTCTTACTGTTTTTTTAAACAAGTAAAAAACGCCATAATCGAGCAAAACAAGACCGAATTTTGCAAGAAGTAACGCTCATATTGCAATTGCAAAACTTGCCAAATTTGTAATTTTCTGTGCAAATAGTAAGTTTCTTTGTGAAGAACGCCTTATTTTAGGAAAATATTGTGAAATTAATAAACAACGTTCTAAATTGAGCGAAAATAACTTATTTCAGAACAAATTTTGTGATTTTCTATTTTGTATTACCAAAATTTCTCAAAATTAGTAGATTCATAACTGAATTTTTATCGAAAATCAATCTAGGCCTACATATGCGACGGCAAGGACGACTGCGACGACGGCTCCGACGAGAGCTACATCCACGCTTGCAAAAAACCACCATTCCGGTGCCCATCTGGGCAATGGAACTGTCCAGGGGTGTCCGAACGCTGCGTAAATCTAACCAACGTTTGTGACGGCAAACCCGACTGTCCTAACGGTGCCGACGAAGACCCTGATTGCGATTTCAAAGAATGCCAACATCAAGGCGGCTTATGTTCCAATGGGTGCAAAGAAACACCCATAGGACCAATGTGTCTATGCCCTTTGGGCGAAACCTTGAAAGAAGACGGATTCACATGCGAGGACCTCAACGAATGCGAACCACCCGGAATTTGCTCACAGACTTGCACCAACACCAAAGGTTCCTACTTTTGTAGCTGTGTCCCAGGTTATCTACTAGAACCCAATAAGCATTCATGCAAGGCTTATAGTAAGTTTAAAAAAAAATCATCTTATTTATTTTTCATTTCTTCTTTTTTTTTTCTTCTAGATCATTCATCAGCCTTTTTGATCATTTCCAATCGGCATTCCATTCTTGTGGCAGACTTGAAGGATCAAGGCCTTGAACGAGTACCAATCATCGTTGAAAATGTCGTCGCTACTGCCTCCAATATGCATACTGGAACCATCTTTTGGTCCGATATGAAATTGAAGAAAATTTCGCGACTTGATCGTGGCGGTGAACCAGTTGAAGTTATTTCGAATGGTTTAGATCTTGTTGAAGGTTTGGCCTATGACTGGATTGGTGGAAACATCTACTGGTTGGACTCCAAACTTAACACCATCGAAGTTGCGAAAGAAAATGGCAGTAATCGAATTGTTCTTGTCAAAGAAAACATCACGCAACCGAGGGGAATGTGTCTGGATCCAAGTCCAGGGTAAGAAATTGCACTACTTCAAAAAGTCAAAAAATTGAAGGAAAAAAATTTTTTTTTTATTTTTTGGTTTTTGTTGAAAGGCTGTTATTCATTTCATTAAAAAAAACTATTTTGAAGCTTTAAGTTTCTAGTTTTGAGATCTTTTGGCAAAAAATTTTGCGAGGAAAGAAAATTCTAATTTTTTTGTTTTTGGTTCAACGCTAATAATTTTTTACACTATAATCCCATTTATACCAAGAATTCAAAATAATCTCATATAATTCCAAGGTATCCCAAAGAATTCCAAATTTCAATAAAAGTAAAAACTGATGTGATATTTATTGATTAAATAATTTTTTGATATTATTTTTCCATGTTTGTTAAGTTTTTTACTATAGGAGTGTGTTCATATTATAATGTAGTATTACAAAATTTCTCTAATTGTATGTAGTCCCTTTTTGTGGTTTTTACTTTTTTATTCAATCTTTTGCTTTTTCAATTACTATACCGTGAGCGGCAAAAAAATATGTAATAATCTTATTAAAACTAAAAATCTTTTGTTTTGGCAAAAATACATCGAAGAGGTTAATTTTTTTTGAAAAAATACACAGTTCTCAACTTGATTTAGAATTTTACACTTTTTGGTTTTTGGAAAGCTCTATTTTTTTAGTCATTTTAACAAATCTTTCAATTCTCAAAATGACAACACCAAAATATTAATCATGTCTTAGATAAAGTTTTCGAAAAACAATTATTCAAGTAAGAAAGGTAATAAGTTTAGTTTTGATATGAACAAAACACAATTATACAATCACACAATTATAAATCAAGTTGAGAATTTGGTATTTTTTACAAAAAAATTGACCTGTTCGAGCATTTTTACCAAAACAAAATATTTTCAGTTTTAATAAATAAGATCATTTCATAATTTTGCCGCTCACTGTATATATAGTGTGTCCCCGGATAGTTGAAACGACTCTTGTAAAAGTTAAAAAATTCTCGATTTACATTCTCATTTTTTGGGATTCATCCCTGACAAATTTCTAACATAATTTTGGTTTTAAAAAATCAAGTATGTTAAGTATAATAATATGTAAAAGAAAGTAAACACAATCAAAGACAAAAAATTAATTTGAAAACTTAACATAAAACAAATTCTCAGATAAATAATAAAACTGTAGATAAAAATAAATAATTATGAAATCCAGAAAACAATATTAGGAACAACTTTACACAAAGTCTGAGGGTTTAATACGCATGCGCTAATGTAGCAAACGCATGCGCATTCACATGAGTACTTCCAAGGAATTACAAAGAATTCCAAATAATAATTCTAAATAATTCTACAGCGGTTTACCCCTCGATTTAAAAAAATTTTTTTACCCTCAACATTGAGTTAAAGAAAAGAAAAAAGTAAGTATCGTGTTGTTTTAGTAAATCTATCGCGTATTCACTAATACTGATAGAGATTTTTTTCAGCTT